CGAGCGTTCCGCGCAGGCAACGTTCCTGTCCCCGGAGCCCGGGGCAGGCGCGCGTAGTTTCCTTGCTTTTCCTTCCTCGCAGCGTCCTTGTCCCTTCCTGCAGCATCCTTGTGGCCCCCCCTACAGTGTCTTTGTGGCCGCCCCGCGTCCTTGTGCCCCCTCCAATCCGTCTGCAGCACCCCAACACCCCTGCCTTCCAGTCCCTCCACCTTCCCACAGTGGCTGAACCTCCCCGGGTTTCCTCATCTGAGGGACCCAGGCTTTTGAAGGTCCCCCACCCTCCCAGAGTGAAAGGAGACCTATGCCCCATGTTTAATTCCAGAAGGAGCTGCCTCCCCACCCCAGGCTGGCCCCTCCGAACACTGGTTTCTCACCCGCCCCACACCCGCCCCAGAGACAGGTGGGCTAGGAAGTTGTTGGCCCCGGGAGGACCAGCCAGAGGCTTCAGGCATCTGATCTGATTGTCAGGAGTGGGCCTTGCCTCTTCTGCTCTGGGGTATAATACCCTAACACCAGTAGCAACAACTACTGAGCACCTTCTGCATACGTTTTACATTGACCCATTTAATGCCCCCGCCCACGGGGCTTGGGACGTATGGAGGGAACCTTATCAGAGGTGAATGGCCTAAAAACTACAGAACCCAATATCCTGGTGATAAACAGGAGCACCCCATCATCGGCCTTCAGGAGCAGGACCAGGCACTGTCCCCTCCCCCCTGAAGACCTCTTGCCGGCACTAGGAGCCTGTCTGGGCATCAGACTCCGTCACCCGCACTTTCCCACCGTTTTGGGGCCTCCTTTCCCTGCTGTTTTTAAGTAGCAGGAATCTGTCTTCATAGGAAGGCTATCCTTGACTTGACCACTGCCTGGAACCCTCCCAGCACCTCCACCCAGGAACTGGGAGCTGTTTGGTCCTGGTTTACAGAGGAGAAAACGAATGATCAGACAGCCTGTGAGATAGTGTCACATGGGAGAAGTGGCCAGGGCCATGAAGGCTCCCAATCCAGTCATGTGACACCAAGGGTAATCCCTCCTCTGCCGCCCCCTTACCTCGGCTGGGCCATGAGAGGTTGCAGGAGGCTTGGAACCTGGGGCGTCTCTGAGGATGGGGATTATGAGGAGCCACACCCCTGTCCAGGCCACCCAGCCCAGCCGCACCCTCCCTGCCTGCCTGCGACTGATTAGGAGACCGGGAGTGGGGCATCTGGTGGGAGATCCTGCCTGGATAAGTGCTGGCAGCTTGTCCAATACGCCAAAGATCTCCAGGCTTCAGCTGCTGGTCCCACAGCTCAGGCCTCCTGGGCCCCGAGCCAGAGGGCCAGGGCCAGAGTGGACATGGGAGTGGTGAGCGCTGGGGCACGGTGAACTGGGGCATGGAGCGGACCCAACTTTGGAGGCTGGGAGGCAGTTGATCTGTGGCTGCTGACAAAGTCTGAATTCTCTCCCAGAGAAGACAGGAGGCCAGCCCAGGGCCTGGCCCACTAGGTGCTCAGCAAATGTGCAGGATCAGGAAGATATGGCTGGTGGCGCTGGAGGACTCTACCACTCATGGTGATCTGGAGGCCTGAGGGCTGGACCCATGCACAGTAAGGGGGCTGCTGCCATCTGAGCCCACCTGGTCAGGGCAGCTACGGGTGTTACATGTAGCCGGCCCCTGCGTCCATCACCATGAGCTGGCTCTGGGGCACAGAGGCCATGCCTGAGGGCTTCCCCAGCCCCTCGAACACCATGCAGAAGGGTGTCCTAGCCCAAGGGAAAGGGTCAGCCTGACACTGCTGCTTGTCTGCCACAATAGCATTACCCTCTGAGTCAGTGGCCAGACCCAACAGGCTGCCAAAGCCGTGGCCCGTGAGGCCCCCCAGGGAGCCCAGTGGCTGGCAGGCACTTCGACAAAAAGCCCCTGTAGACCCCAGGTCCACCCAGCAGGGCCCCTCCAGACCCAGCCTGGAGGCTGGGACCAACAGCTCCAAAGTGGGTCCCAATGTAAAGCTCTGTACAGCTCCAGACATGTAGTCTGTTACCAGGAAGGGCATCCACAGCCAGCCCCCGAGGGGCCAGAAAGTGCCCACCATCACCCAGTCCCGCAGGCACTTTGGGAAGTGTGCTGGAGTGTGTGGACAGCCCTGTGGACAAGTTCATTGACCACCATGAGTGCAACAGCTGTCACAGCCACATCCTCTGGCACGAAGTCCCTGAACCCTGGCACCCGGCAGGACAGGTAGCAGCAGAGAGTCCCTCAAGGCCTGGCACATAGATGCAGGGAGCAGGCCACCCAGGGAGCAGTGCAGACCTGGGCCCCCTTCAGCCCCGCAGGCACCAGGATCTGCCTGAGCAGCCAGGAGTGAGCCGAGTCTCCAGGACGGTCCAGAGTGAGGTGAAGGGTCTGGGGGGCAGCTGGCCAGCTGGTGGGGAAGCCCAGAGGTCAGAGCAGGGAGCCAGAAGGTGGGTGTGCCTGCAAGTCACTATGGTTGGGCCAAGTTTGGGGCTGCTAGAGAAAGCACGCCCCGCGGTGTACTGAGCAGCAGCTGCCTCAGCTCCCCTGTGCCCTTCCAGGCAGTGCTGGTGTTCTGTTTCTCCAGAGGAGGCAACTGAGGCGTGAAGGTGGGGGTGGCGGTGGGGGAGGGAGCTGGATTCAAACTCAGTTCCACCAGGTCCTGAGCCTGGTTCAGCCCGCAAAGCCAGCAGCCAGCTGTGTCTTTAGGTCCTATTTTCCCAGCATGACACCTGGAATACGGTTCTGGGGACATGGACCATGAAGGTTGCTGTGGGTTTTGCTCTGAGACCTGAATGAGCTTGCAGGCATTGAGATGTCCCGAGATGGGGGTGAGGGTGACAGATGGGGAGTGTTTCTCAAAGTCACTTGCCCAGGAAACCGTTCCTTCCTTAAGGCAGGGAAAGTGACCCTTTTTGGGGACAGCCCAAGCCCCTGCCCATTGGTACCACACAGCCCCTGGAGACTTCCAACCACTGAGGGATGAGGCCAGGGTCCTGTCCTACGCCTCCCCATCTGCCCTTACCCAGGGAGGCCAGCGGGAGTGCGGGAGACTTTGGACCCTGCTCCAGCAGCAGCCTCTGTAGTTGGAAACTAGAGCCTGAGGGAGTGGAAGGGGCCACCTTGATGTGGGCAAGGAGAAGGGGGCAGGAGAAGCCACTGGGCCCTATGGAGTCCTGACACTCCACTACGAAACCCCAGGGACTCCCAGTGCTGCTACATTCCTGCCCTGGGGCCTGTGCCCTGGCCTCTGGGCCATTCTTCCTGCTGCCCCCGCTTGGCTGGATGCCACTCATGGTTAGCGCAACCAACCCCTCCCCACAGCCGTACACCCCACACCCTTCTGTGATGTCAGGCATGGGCTCGCTTTTCAGAAGGCTCTGAGCAAATACCTGCAGATGAAGCGGTCCCCCCCCCACCCCTGTCCCCCAGCAGGACCAGAGTCCAGGTGGAGGACTTCCAGGGGTCCATCTTGTCCCCCCACCCCTAGAATGGGCAGGTTGGGTCCTGTCTCTCTGTTTCCATTTCTGCACCGGTGAAGCTGGGGTGACCTCCCCCAACAGGGCCAGGCTCATGTCTGCCCTGTGGGTGATGAGATATCAGGGAGCAGCAGATATGACACCTACAGGTGCCGATGGGAGGCCCAAGGCTCAGGGCCTGGGGGTTCTCTGGACACTCCTAAGCCCACAGTCCCCTGCGGCTCCTCTGGGAAGCCCCTGGAAGGTGGAGGGTCAGCCTCTGTCAGCAACTCACAGCTCTCCCCGCCTGGCTGGCTTACACCCCCCCTGGACACTGGCTCTTAACGCCCCTCGGTGGGGAGGGCGGCGATGCTATCTGCTGCCCGTACAGTTAATGGGGCAGCCACAGGTCCTGCTCCGACTGGCCCCAGCCCGGCTGGTCCAGCTTCGGGGAGCCGGGCGCAGGCAGGAACTGCCTTCCCTGGGGCTATTCCTGAGCGGGCCAATTCCCAGGGAGAGAAGTGATTAGCTGGGTCCAAGGGTCCCCTAGGAGCCCCTCCCTACCTGCCCCCACCCCAGCCTGTGGGAAAGGCCAAGTCCAGCCTGGTCGTGCTGGGAGGGAGGCAGCGAGCTGTGAAGGCCACCCGATGCCTATCATGACTGCAGGGGCTGGCAGGGGCCCAGTGGAGGCCATGCTGGGCAAGCAGCCCTGGGCCACAGAATGTGGGGAGCACCTTTTCACTGCGGTGGGAGCAGCCTCCAGCATGGATCTGACAGCAGGGCTGCCCTGCCAGACACAGGGGCTGGAGGCATGCCTGGAGGCCCTGCCCACCACCAATGTGCTGACACGCTGGTCTGACCCGCACCTGCTTCTCCTTGCTCGGCCCCTCCCAATGGAAAGCCCCCACTCTATCCCCAGACTCTGCCCCTCCAGGGAGGGCCCAGTCAACAGGAGGCAGGTCAGGGTCTGAAGGCGGACACCCGGCAGGCGGCCCAGGACACTGCCTGCCCGGATGCCCATGGCTGGTCCATCTGCACGGGGGGAAGGTGTTCCGATGGTGAGAGTGCAGCAGCAAGGGAAAGAGAAGGCTCAGACAGGGTGTGTGACGGTGGCTTCTCTTTTAATGTCCACAGCCGTGATCAACAAAAAGCTGCGACTCTGCTGTCCCTGTGTGGCCCCAGAGACAGGCCACGGCCGTGGTGGGTGGGGGCTGTTCAGGGCATGCTGGGCAGGCCCCTGGGGCTGAGGCAGGCAGGGGGCAGGTGCTGTGCATGGGACTGGGGCAGGGCCTCTGTCTGTTACGGACAGAGGGGGCAGCGGGAGCTGTGGTCAGACCTCGGCACGTGGGGGGCTCTGCAGGCCAGAGGCAGCCTCGGGAGGCCAGGAGCCCCCGGCCCTGCCACGGGGGCCCCAGCTACTGCCAGGAATGGCAGGGTCATCTGGGGCTTGGAGGGGGAGCCCCGGGGGAGGGACACTGGAGTCAGCCTCGCACTTGGTGGTCTGGCCAGAGAAAGGCTCAGCCACTGTGGGGCCCAGCATTCTGGGTGGCTCGGGGGTTCCCTGGGCCAATATAGAACCCAGCTCTGGTTGCCCCCAGGACGCTGAGGACACCTCGGGCACCTTGGAGGGCGTCCGTTTCACAGAGAGGTCGAGTGGCACGTCTGGGGGCCGCACGGCCTGCTCTAGCACCTGGTGGATGGTGAGCAGCTCCCTGCGGATCTTGCCCAGTTGCTCCCGCAGAGGCTGTGGGGCCAGGCCCCTGGCAGGTGCCAACTGCCCCAGGCGCTGCTCCACCCTAGCATAGTCGCCGAGAGCCCGGGTCAGGTCCTCACACACATGCCCGGGGCCGCCCAGCACCAGGCCCGGTGGCTGCTGGGGCAGGGGGGAAACAGGGCCCAGGATCTCGGGGTCGCCTGGCTCCTTGTCCTCAGGCCAGAGAATCACGGAGGGGCCATTCCGCAGGCTAGGGAGTAGGAGCCGGTCAGAAGGCTGTGCTGCCCCCCAGTTCCCCAGCCTCTGCCCCACTCTCTCTCGTGCCCCCTGTGCAGCCTGTCTCCCTGGCCTAGAGACCCGGGGCCCCGGAAGGACAGACAGACTGGCTCTCTGGTCTCAGTATCCTCCCTGTGGCCTGAAGCACATATTCCTGGACACTAAGTCAGAACAGAGGCCCAGCCCTCCTCCCCCAACCTCAACCCACCCCCCAACATGACTGGGGAACCCTGACACCTACCTGCTCTGGGAACCAAAGTTGGCCAAGCTGGAGGGAGCCTTCGGGGGCTCCAGCCTGCTTCCCGGGGGCAGCTTCCTCTTGGGGTCACTCTGGGCAGCCAGCTCCAGCCCTCCCTCCTGCCCTGGGTCCCTGGGGGCACCACAGGGCCAGGGCCCACCCAGTCCAGGTACTGGCACTTTTAACAGCCCAGGGGCCAGAGTCCCAGGGGGTCCCTTGGGAGGAGCAGGGGGCTTGGCAGGGGCAGCAGCCTTGCCTGCCTGCAGCCCCAGGCTGTGCTCCAGGAGCAGAGGGTAGTATAGGCGGGGGATAGGGGTGGGGCGCTCTAGGGGCTGCAGGGCGGGGAAGGCAGAGGCTGGGGGAAGCAGGGGGCTGGCCGAGCCCAGGAAGGGCATATGGGCTGCCGTGGCCAGGGAGGGCCCCAGGTAGGAAAAGAGGCTGGGGCCAAGGGGGTAGTTGACTCCCAGCAGGGACAGCTGGAGGCTCTGGGCCTCAGGGAACTCGCTGGAGGTGGGCGGAGGGTAGCAGGGGACGCTGCTCTCAGGGCCCACTGCAGCTGAGTCTACCACAGCCATGCTCCTGGGGCCCCTGCCCAGCCCTGGCTTCCATGACTCGGCCAGGAGCCCTCCCAGGCCCACACCCTTCTGGGCATCCTTGGCTGCAGGGGGTGGTGTCCCTGGGGACCCCTCAGCCTCTGGCTTGGGGCCCCCGACACAGCGGTGCAGGGAGAGAAGGTCAGTGACAACGAGGTCGGGCGTGGTGGGAGCATCTGGGAGCCGAGCCCCTCGGGGTCGCCTGCCCGGTTCTGTGGGGTCAGAGGGGCAGTCTGTAGCGGGCTCCAGGGGCCGGGGTGTGGCAGGGGCCCGGCGGCATGCCCAGTCGGGGGAGTCCAGCAGCAGCGAGAGGGAGTCCTTGCAGAGGCTGTACTTCATGTGGTTGTACAGGTGTGACTTCTCCAGGCAGGTGAACGGGCACTGGAAGCACTTGTAATTGTAGGGCTTCCCCCAGGGCCGCGGGATGTAGTGGGGCTTCTTGGGCTTCCGTGCCCGAGCCCGCGCCCCGGAGCCCAGGCGGCATGAGCCCGCCACCTCTCGGGACATGGCAGCCTGCTAGTAGACCGGCCACGGCACCATGGCCACCTGCAGACAAGGGGGCCCTGGTCAGTGCCTCTGTCAGCTCCCAGAGCTCCAGGGGTAGAAGCCGGGTGTGGCATTGCCTCCTCCCGGAGCCTGGGCTTCCCTGGCCTTTTCACATGTAGTTCGGACCTAGAACACCCTCCCCACCTCCCGCTTCAGTCCCGCTCCACCCACACTTCTAGAGCCACCAGGTGT